TAGCGCTCATGGGGCTCGGCCCTTCCCTTTTTCCCCTCCACCCCGCTTCGCTCTCCGGCACCCCCTCACCTCCGCCCCCCCTTCCCCTCAGTCCGGGGGTTCGCGTTCCCCGGCCTGCGCTTCATCTGTTTTCCAGATGTATCAGCAGCGCCCTAAGCAAGCCCGGCATTTTGGTAGCGATGTCTTGTGGGGGTTGTTTTGCAATCTCAGTAGGGTTCCCCCCCCCTCCCCCGCCTTTGGTGCAGCAGCGTTTTTCTGTTCATGTGCAGACCGGCCCCCCCTTCCCCTCAGTCCGGGGGTTCGCGTTCCCCGGCCTGCGCTTCATCTGTTTTCCAGATGTATCAGCAGCGCCCTAAGCAAGCCCGGCATTTTGGTAGCGATGTCTTGTGGGGGTTGTTTTGCAATCTCAGTAGGGTTCCCCCCCCCTCCCCCGCCTTTGGTGCAGCAGCGTTTTTCTGTTCATGTGCAGACCGGAAAGCTATAATGCACGTAGCCCATGGCAGGGAGACAGGCTAGATAATGTATACTTTAATTGGTCCGGGTTTAGAAAGCTGACACTTAAATATGATAGGCATGTGGGTTTTTAGACTGCAGGAAGAAGGTATGCGGTGCGTCCAGGTGTGTGTATCAGAGTTGCTCCGTTTTTGAAATCATGACGATATAAATCTCGCTTTTACTGCCGTAAAATTAACCCAGAGATACACTATGGAGTCCTGTAGTATTTTACGTCGACACTAGGGGTGTCTCCTGCTTTTCACCGCTGCCAAGAAATCAACGCCCTTTTTTAATAAACATTTATTTTAGCCTAAATTATCCAGTACCCTGGCTGCAGGAGGACTCTGGCATTATTTTTGTTTTACAGCTGGAGAAATAGAAGTGGTTTAAATTTTCTCATTCTTAACCCTTTAAGAGCAAGGCCAGCTGTTTATCACATTTCACATTAGACCTCACAGGGCCTGGGAGATGAAAATGGATTTCCTTTTGTTTTTAAGCAAGGGACTGCAATCTTTAGTTTAAAAAATAAAGTTGTAGCAGAAACTGATGGGACATGCTCAGACTGTCTTTGCATGTATACTTTAATGTCTGTTGGATGTGCATTTGGAGAAATACTTTGAAATGTATAAAGGTTTGGTTTCAGTTGGGGGCTAAACCAGTGTGTTTACTGAATGCCTTCACACAGTCTTGGTGTACGTTAAGACTGTGAGAAAAGAAGGCTCATATTTTGAGAACAAGGTATTAATGCAGTTGGGACTTAAAAAGAAAAAATGTATGATTGGAAATTATGCCGTGGTTGCAATACTACGAATTGCTGTGACTATATAGATGGATAGTGATCATCTTCCACATAACAGTTGTGCTCATACTGCCATTAGTTGGCTCTTCTGTGAAAAGTTTGTTCTCGGACTTGCCTGATGGTATACGCTAACATGCATAAAAGGAAAGAAAATGTTATTTAACAGTGATACCCGTGTGTTAGTGACCTGTAATGAACCTAACTTTCATGTATTATTAACTTTATTTTTTTTCCTCTGTTGTTTTGTAACTGAGGCTGTCCTAGCATCTTTGATGGTATAATGTTGACTATTATTTTGTGACTTCTTGAACAGTACTTGTGTATGATCAATTGCAATGTGTACATGCAGATGTGGGGTGGGGGGGGAAGGTATGCTGGGTATTATCTCTACCAGTAAAGGTGTTTGTTTGCTTGCATAAGCAGTAACAACACTAAGAGAGTTTTCAATGTAGCTGTATCAGCATGCTGATTCTGATAACACCTGATCTTAGGTGCCTTGTAGTTTGAAAACCAAGCTAAAACTAAACAGCTGATAAACATTAAAAAAAACCTTCAAAACATTTTGTTTAAGTTGCCATTCTTTTTACTGTCATTATCCTGTGGATGTTTTCACTGGAAGAGTTCACTTCTGATGAAGAAGTAGCCCTTGTTTCAACCTTTACTTTATTAGAATAGAGCAATTCTTTTTCACCGTTTGGAGTAACATTTGTTTTGTGTTCTCACAGGACCAGAAAGCTGACAGTGAAGAAAGAGGTGAATGTATTGTTGTGTTCATAGTAGGTAGCTTAAGATAAAACATAAACATCTAGTGAGTCAAAGAATGTAGTTCTGGATGTTTTGGTATAGCCAGTTCTAAAATAATCTATCAGGCAGAGCATAAGATGATGAGTCCATTACATAATGCTAGAAGTAATGTTGATATGCTATTTCTGTCAGAGTTGACTTAGCAAGTTTTTCCTATGAGGAGTATTTTCTAGGAAAAGGTAAATAGCACGGATAGATGCTATTAAACAGTCTTGGTTTTGGGTAGATAAATTCTGTTTTCTTGGGATGGTTTGCATTCTGGTTCATATCCAGCTCTTCAGCTTTATAGTTGTAGGACAGTAGAGACAGAATTCCACAGGAGTCGCCCAAACCATGTTACGTAGTGTACCCATCATCTTAGCTACGCTCTGTTCAGTTATTCTGACTCACTTTACTTTGAGTAGTGGTGCTTCTGGTGCATTTTTTCCAGCTGAAGCTGATCTAGCAGTGTTTCTAAATTACTGAAGCCAACAACCACCAAAACATTTTTTTGCAATAGAACCAAAAAACCCCAAAATACCATCTTGAATAATTGTTTACTGTTTAGCAGGGAAGGTGTTAAATAAGTTGGTTCTTAGCTGAAGAAAAAACTAGTTACTCCATTACCAAATCATATTTGCACTGCCATCATTACAAATATCTGAATAGTCAGTTGAGTTTTGTAACAGGTGGCAGGAACTGAGGGGCACTCGCATAGTCCGTCTTACAGCCTACTGGTGGTCTTTGCCACAGGCGGAATAACTGGTCTAGGATTCAAACTGCAAAGCTTGTGTATAGGTCTCTTAAGAAGTATTTGGTAGGCTTGCTTAAGCCAGTTTATTTAATAACAGAATTTATTTTGGAAGTAATTTTCAGAGACATCGTTTAGAGGCCAATTTGAATACGCAAGTTCACTTACCCGTGATCTCCTGAGGAAGACAGATCCTGTTAATGAAGAAAGAAAGAGACCTTCTAAAAAGTAACTGTATTTTTTCACTATTTCAGTGGTAGAAGGAGAATTCTGTCTTTTATGGTTAAATTATTAATTTAACGATAGGGAGGAATGAAAATTGAGTAGTTAAAAGGAAAATGGTTTGTGGTGGGCATGCCTCAGGAACTTCAGAATAGGCATCTGACAGCACTAAAATGGAAGCTTTAAGGGAGTGAGGTTAATAACATCTAAATTGGTTTTTTTATTCATATCTTAAAGGAGACGGGACTATCTTTTGTTGATCAGTGCCAGAAAAGGAGGCTCGAGTAACTCTGGTGTTTCTGGGGAAACAAATGCACGTTTTGGTGCCAAACCATTTCTTGGTCTGCTTCTGCCTCCTCATTTCCCCCTCATTTTTATATGTCAGAAAGACGTACGAAAAGTTGTTAAGGTGTACTGCAAGAAAATTATTTATTGGTTTTGATTGACAGAATATATACTTTCAAGAAGAAATGAATCTAGCAATGAAGATCTTGACAGCTTTTTTGCAGCTGGCTGTTGAATCAGTGCTTACCTGGCAATGTTGCAGAAGTCCTTTTTTTAATTGTAGGTATGTTTAATAGTGTTCTCCTACTGTAATTCATAAATTACACTTGTATAAGATTTTTCAACGTTGCTCTGATTTCCCTGCTATTAAAAGAATTCTTTTGCTTTCCCTCCCCTTTTTTACTGCTTGTGTTTAGCTGAGTTTTGTTCAAGAGAAATTGTATCCTCACCCAAAATGTTGTAAGCCTGAATGGTAGTTGAGCATGAAAATGTTAGGGCTTTGGTTTAGTTATATGAAATGGTGACCAAAAATTATGTTTATAGGAAAAACTTTTTTGTAATTTGAGCTAATATATGACTTCTTGAAAGCAACATGCTCTTGACTTCCTTGTCGCTCCTCTTTCCACCCAAGCCTGTTCTCCCTGCTCCGGGTAGTATAATTTCTGAATTTCTAATTGGGAGAAAAATTAGACTGCACTGTTCTCTGTTGATAAGCAGCCAGTTCATTTAGTGACACATTTCCCTATTTTCTATCCTTTCCTTCTTCTGGCCTATATATTTTTCTCTTTGTAAGCTTGTTTATTCCTGTGTATTCCCTACAGAAAGACTACAGGGGCAAAGGGGGCTGGCAGTTCCCATGCTTCCTACATGCTAGTTCTTTGCCAGAATCATCAGCAGAAATAGGGAAGGTGCTACTGTGTGATGTCCTTGTCACGATCAAACTCCTCTGCTTCTGGAGGAGCGAGCACTGCAGGGATGGGGGAGTAAAGATTGAAGCAATGGGGAAGGAATGATGAGAGGCATGGATCTACATCAAGAGAGAGGAGTAAAAAGTGCTTGTGCTTAAAGGTTATGCAGTTGGAAACTTTTGAGCAGGATATCGTAAGAAAATAAGTATCTTGTTTTACTTGCATGCTCCTGTTAATTAAAACAAAAAAAGTTGGAACTCCTGGAAACAGTAAGAATTTTATTGGCTGACTTGATTATATAAATTACTTAAATATGTTCTTTCTTTCCCAAAGGCCATAAGCGCTTATCTTGCTGTGCTCATGTGAAGCTGGTAAATATTGTCCTTGTTCTACAAATGAAAAAGGTTGAGGTCATGGTGCGGTAGTAACTTATCCAAGGCCCTTTTTATTGTTTAGATGTTAATGTTAGGATGTGATGTCGGAAATGGATAATGTGTTTGTAGCTCCGAAAATAAATAAGTGTAAATCAAATTAACTGCTACAGATTTTGAGGTCTTGGGACCGATGAATAATTGGAGTTAGAATGCAGCCACTAGAAAACGTGCTGTATGTTGTCCATTTGGCTTAAGGCATGTGATGGTGTGCAGTGGTTGAAAGCTTGGTCATATGCTACCTTCTTTCAACATCTTTGTAGCATTTTGTTGGCCACTTAGTGACTTCTTTTAGAGGTTAGACCTGGAAATGGGCCTTTTATGTCCCATAAAAGCTATTCAGTTTCTTATGTGTCAGGGGCCTAAGGTAATCTTGACACCAGCAGTTTGAGAAAGATCTGTTACAAAGATTGCCTTAACGTGCAGAATGAAGTGAGACAGACTTGGATATGGACCAACATGTTTTAATCTGGAATAGGTAGATCTTTCAGTATACTGGTTCAAGTATTCTGGGAATGTTTTCACTGCTGTTTCCTTGAATCAATGATCAGGAAGCTTAAATGACTTGAAATTCATGATTTTGTAATGATTTAAGTACAAGGCTAGAAGCAATCTGTTCTGCTTGACGTATGAGGTAGCTAGATTATTTTGGTCACCATTTGAAATACTATATTTCCTTAGTAATATTGAATATCGAGATAAGTTTAACTAGGGTTAAACTTAAACTATGGCTTGTCTTCCTATTCAGGTCTGTTCTATATAATTTGAATGGCCAAAATCTGTGGGGAGTTTTTTTTTTAAGTTTCAGGTGTGTCTAAGAATAAAACCCACATCTTTCAAGTAAAGTAATTTTTGGAGTGATGGTTCTCTCAAATAAAATTTAATCTTGATGTTTTATGTAGCTTTCTAAATGTGTAACTTGAAAATTTTAATTTGGTAACAATACTTTATTAGGCCTTTTCCATATGCGGAAAGACCATTAAAATGTTTTTTTTTTAGATTGTACCTAGTACAGCCACATGCACATTGTTAATTTAACTGCTTGGGAAAACGATGTGGATGGTGCAAAACAGGCTGGAGACTATATCTGACTTGCTTGTAACTTGACAGTGAGTCTGCCCTGCTATTGATACTCTGTTCCACAAATAAGGAAGAATCCCCAGCGATATAAATAATGATCTTGAACTGTGTTAAAGAAGACTCAGAAACCCTTTAAATGCTTTGTATTAAAGGACAGCGTTGCTTATGAACTGCCAATAAAAATCTTGGCTTCCAAGCTGTAAACAGGTTGTGCCAGTTAATACGCTCAGGTGAATATTTGTGAAGTCTGTGGTGATGGACGTTTTTAAGCAAACTGTTAAGGCAAAGAACCGGAACTCCCCCAGTAAGCTGATACAGTGCCTATTTTAAAAAGCTTATGCAGTCAGCTTGAAGTTCACAAACACTTTATATCATTGTCTAAGTTAGGTAAAGTAGGAATTAAATAATGTAGTAAGACATTTATTACTTCAGTCAGAATTTGGGAGGGGCAGGAGAGGGAGGGATGGCGTAACTGATAGGAAGCCAGGGTTAATATGTTTCTGGGAAGAAACCCAGCTACTGGAAAAGTGGATTCAGCTGTGATTCTCACAAGAATATAATCTTAAGATCATCTTTAAATGCTCTGGAACTACTTTTCTTCCAATGGTATATTTGTGACAAATATAGAGGCTTTTTAGCCTTTATTTTAAGCAGCTGGAAACTTTGGGAAGGAACACCTCAGCTACAGTACTGCTGTTTTTCTACCCCTTCTTCGTTGTCAACCTGTGAATAGCTCCTCTGTGTACATTTATCAGGTGTCTTGGGTTTTTTTGTTATAGGTAGTAAAAGACAAAACAACTGTTCTTTCACTACTGACTGTGTATGTTCTGAATAGCATCACTGAAGTTGAAAGAAATGGCTTGAATTCCCTCTGCTCAAAGATACTATGGCTAGGAGAGAGGACTTTAAAGGGAGGGTTTTTTTGAAACAAACTCCATGGATATGACTTTAGGCCTGAGCTTATGAAGGAGAACTTCTCGTGTATTTTGTAGGCATGATGACTGAACAGCTTTTTCAGTGTTGTGTATGTAATGATGTTCTCTTGGGGGAGTTTAATTTGGTATTGAGCCACTGCTTAACAGGCTTAGCATCTTGGTGTCTGAGCAGTCATGGGTCAATTTTGTTGGTAATGCTGAAGGAACGTTTCATAGATAAAGGCTTGACTTTATGTATGTAGCATGTAGATCTTCTAACAAGTCTAGAAAAAAAAAATCATGATAAATAGGAGAACTTCTAAACAGCAATAATAAAAAATGCCATGTGAATAAAAAAAACTTGATTTTTATATTTGATCTAAGTAGACTATCTTAGCACTCTAATTACTGTTCTTCATAGAGGTATCTGGTACAATATCTTTCTCTACTTATTCTTAAACTTTTCCAGGGATTCTTATAAACATCGTGTTAGTTTTCCTGAAGTATTTTATTCAAAACATGTTTGGTCGTTTTAGTAATAAGATGAAAGCATTTGCATTGGGTACTGAGAAATTTTTTTATTTCATAGGAAAATCAGTCATGACAGATGTAACTTATAAAATATGAAAGGTTATAAGTTTGAATCTTGCGTAGTCTTGAATGTTAGAGTGCAACACTGGTGTTGGTGCAGCTGTGTTTGCCAGGGCTCAACTCTGAAAAATTCTCTTTTGAGAGGCCTTGAAAAAAATGAACAGTGAGCTAGAAGGTAGCCAAATTCCCTTTCTTGGTGAGAAAACAGTCATGTGAGTAAAAGGGACTAAAGTTAAGGGGAAGTAGAAGATGGTGGTTAAAGATTTAGGCATTGTATGTCGTGATACAGTAGTACTGTAATGCTCTGTAGGGGGGGGCAGAGCAGCTAAAGATTCCAGAAAAATCGGGAAGAATTAGTTTGAGTGAGAGAGTGGGTGATTTTTAGCAACAGTTTTATCTTGGCCACTTTCTTAGAGGTATTGCTTAACATCTGTGCAGTATCATAAATGCTTTGTGAAGTCAATCCATGTTACTCAGCATATCACAAAGAGCAGTTAAAACTTATTTTAAAAATAGAAGTGTTCTTTGATTTGCAGTTCATGTTACAAACATATACATGTTATATACTGCCTTTAAGGTTTGCAAGCTGTAAATTTCTGGAAGTATAGCCTATGACGAAGTAAGATGGGAAGTAGCAGAAAGATGGTAGCCTGTGGTTCTGTGGGCAGATTGTGTATACGGGCACAGTTGTGTCAATTAGTCTTTGGGGAATGGATGCAGTTATTTGTACGGTGCTTTGGACTAGGATGACTAGATTCTTGATTGTGAGCCCCCAGAGCAAGTGGTAATTATTACTAGAAGTCACTGGAGCTCTGCAGGGGTGCATCTACTTATTTTGGGACCTGTGGACCCTATAAATAGCAGTAATTTTTCTAATGCTGCATTGTGTGTACTTTTATGCTCGCTTTTTGTACATTTACAACTTACAAAAATGTACAGCTCTTCAGGACAGCTGTTCTTAATTGTATTGCTAGTCACAGCAATTAATAAGCTTTGATTTCTGACAGGATGAAGGAATCTTTTAGCGAGTGCTATGAATCTTTACCAAAAATAATGCTAATAGCTATAAGTAAATGAGATTTTGGATAATTCTTCAAACATTTGACATATGATTGTTTATAAGCTACCGAAACTGGCTTGGAATTCTAATCTTTTGAGTACCCTTTTATTAGCTTGTAGCCGAAGTGCTAGATGTCTCTATTTGATACTGAATGTTAAATATTTGCATTCCTGTACATAAATAAAAGAAACAAGTTGGTTCCTGCCCTGAAGAACTTAACCTAAAATATTCTTCTTTTTAATTACATTTGAATATTACTTCATATAACCAACTCCTGAATGGACATCACCTCAGCATTATGATTAAAATAAAATCTGTATCTTCTCCATGACACAGGTCACACAAAGATGACTGTTTAAAGATTTTGGAATGTTCCATAGTGGTGAAAACCTTAATTGAAAGTAGTGTGGTGGTGTTCTGTGTTTTATTTTGCTTACCTTTGATTGGGAAGTCTGTGATAACAATAATTGGAAGACTTCGGAAATTTGAAGTGCATGTTTTCCAGAGGATAAATTCCTGATTTGCTGGAAGTTCTAGAGTGCTGGAAATACTGAGTATTCACTTAGAATGGAATCTGGTAATGCCCGAAGACCTGTTTAATGTTTAGTAAAATTCTTGATATTTTAATTACAATGGTTTTGATCCCTCTGTATTGGATCACAGCGTTGATAGGGCCTGTTTTCAAACCATATGACTCATCTTTATTCTTTACTGAATTCTTCATGAGTCCTTGAGTGGCATAAACTAAACCAGAGCTTATTGAAGTGTCTCAATTTAATAGCTGACAGCTGTAAGTTCTGATGAAGTTATTTTCCTTTTGGAAAAAAAATAGAACCATGTATTAAGATTAGTGTTAACTCTTAGCGACAGTTAATACTACTGGAATACAACCTCTATTTTGCAGATTCTATATCTATGCAACAATTCCCTTCAGCATAGTCTGCTTCTTCCTTTGATTTACACATCTTGCCCAGTTCTGCATTTTTGCCTCCTTCGCTGTTTTCTGTTCGTCAGTTTGTGAAATCAAATCCCATTTTTGAACTATCTTTTCTGTTTTCAGATACATGTCCTTTGCAGAAGGACAATGCAATGTTGCATTGCAATGTTTGTGATGTTCTTCAGCCTCTTTTGTGATAGATCCTAAATGACATTTTACTAATTGTCTACTTTTTGTGATCTTTTTTGCTGTGCTGTTTCTGTTTTCTCTTCTCTTGTTGGCCAGCCATAAGACACTTACCTCCCTTTTTTCAAACTCTGATTTCCCTTTTTCTCACTAAGTGGTATTAAACTGTTAAAGTTTCTTAAATGGGGAGAAGGGCTGGTGACAGCATCTATTTATGCAACCTGCTCCTGTGCTCTTTTTGTACCATTTCATCAAGTACTGTATGCTGATCTGTGTGACTGACTTTGAAACTTTTAAGTACTTTTGGCATAGCCTCTGTGAATTGGCGATACTCTCTGAATTGGCACTTAAACTTCATAGCTAAGGGATGTTTAACTGTTAGATTGTTGTATGCTGTAAAGCTGTGTCAGCTTTCTTTTTCCCTCCACGCCATCTCAGATCCATTTACAGATATCTGCAACTCTTCCTAAAGCTTTAACCTTTGCAGTTAACTCATTACTGAAAACACTGCTGAAATCTAAAAACTTAGGATAATCAGTTGATAAAGATGCGCTGGTCGTGTTCTTTTGTATTGTCAACCTATTTCTGTGAATAGACGATTATATTCAACTGTAGTATAGTATTTTACACTGAGTAGTATAACACTGTTATGTGATGCAGTGTATGTTACTTCCATTTCTAGAATGTGTTTTTGCTATTTTCTTTCCCCTCTACAAATACCACTTGGAGCAGTACAGTGAATCTGCTATGTCTAAACCCCCTGAAAAAATGAAGCCTTTTAAATTTGTTTTATAACTGATACCAATCTCTCATTGTTTGCTTGCACAAGTAGGTGAAGCTTGTGGCGAGGTAACTTTACCAGGTATGTTGGGAACAAGTACATTAATTTGTATGTTTGTCAGTTGCTGTTGGAGGATAACATGCTCCATTTCATTTCCAGCTAGGTTCTCATCTTTCATATTTGCCTCAGCCTGATACATACGTGAGATATATCTGATCAGTCACAAGCAGGCCTGTAGCTGTTTCTTGCAGAAGTTAGGGAGGAGGTTTGTTTACTGGGGGTTCTGTGACTACTGTAGCTTCTTCTCTGCTTTTGGAAAACTGTCTGGAAAGAGAAGTATTGTTGCTCCTTTTTAACACTCATAGTGTTGCTGAGGAATAGTAGCATGCAACTGATCTAATGATTATCAGTTTTCTTCCTGCCTGTAGGGTTAGGGCTTTCAGTGTTATATCTGATCTCGGTACAAGCAAAATCAGGAAGTTCAGAAATTTCAGAAAACTGAGCCACTCTTAGTTATACTCACTTTTTGGTATTTGGAGTGTCACAAATCATATTTTTAAGAGGTAGACTTTTTGATTCTGAAGGTGTTGATAACACTTGCCTTTAGCTTCTTGAAAATCACTCTAGAAATAAGTTTAAATTTGCAAGCATAGTAACAAGTACTGTACCTTTAAGTGACAAGTAATTTCCATAACCTACTAAAGCATTTTTAAAAAAACAATACACAGAAAAGAAAGCCTGCCTTTCCTACTCCTCATCAATCCCATGGCAAAAGTGTTTGACTAAAAGTTTTATGGCGAATGTAACTATTTTTTGACTGTTTCTGTTAATTTTGGAGGGAGGTATTGCACTAGCAATTAACTTGGCAGAGTTTTTACTGGGATTGTTCTAGAGAGCTGTTTGCTGAAGCTCCTCAATTCTTTTTGGTTTTGTAGTATCTGGAAGTGCAGAGAATTAAATTGGAGTAATTGAAAGCAGCCTCGTGAGAGTATATCTGTATATAGCAAATTATATTTCAATATAGCTTTAGGTCAAGTTAATATCTTTTTGTAAAGTAACTGTCTGTTCCTATTTCTATGTAGGTCAGCCTGTGAGTAATTCTCAGTTTTGGTGGACCACTGTTTTATTGCTTTGTGTTGGGTTTTATTGCTTTGTGTTGGACTGGAAGTTTTGAACATTGTCTGTTTTCTGGGAAGGTACTTCGGACAAAAACTGTTTTATCTCCAAGTAGTTGCAGAGAAAGGGAAGACCTGAAAGAGTTGGGGATTGGACTAGATGACTCTAAAGGTCCCTTCCAACCCAAAACATTCTATGATTCTATGAAAGAGCTTTTAATTGCCTAGTAAATATTTTACCTGTAGAATGGGTGTTTTGACTCTTTTGGGTAGTTTTGTGTTTCTTCATTTGACAGCCTATAAGATGCTAAATAATAGTTTGAGTATAACTTGTTAATTACTAGTGAAAACTGTGTGACTTTGTTCAGAGACTCTTCAGGTTCTCCGTGATGCTTGCATACTTTGGTTTGATGTTGAGAATGAAGTTTTATTTCCTTTGTCCTATGTGTTACTTTATTTTTCCAATATTGTTTATTATAAGCTTTTGCAGTATATACTTACAAACAAAATTTCCTTCTTTGAAATGCTCTTCGAAACTCTTTGACTCCCCTTTTGTAATGCACAAAGATGGATGTTTGGGTTTTTTCTTTTTTTTTAATTTATCATTGATATGTCTGTTGCCTTGCAGTCTTCTCTGTCTTCTACCTTGTTCTGTACTTGGATTACAAATTTTCTGGTTGGACAGCACTGTTTTGTTTTTGTTTTCACTAGCATGGTCTTTGTCAATGTGACAGCGTGGTCCTGGAGTGGATTGGTTGGGAAACTTTACTGCAATTACCTTTAAAGTTGGGAAAGAGGGCTGCTGTGGTCTCCTTATCTAAGGGAATTGAATAAACTTCAGTGAAGAGGCTTGTGTAGTAAACCTAGTAAGAGGTTTTGTAGGTGGAACCAATATGTTAACCTAAGTGGAACAAATACATTAGTGTCTTGCAATTTTTTTGTGACTTCTCCAGAAGCAATGGAGGACCAACCTTGTTTCACTCCAAAGACTTTCTAATGTGAGCTCTTAATTGCATCAGAACTTACTTTGATTTAGTGGTGACAGAACTTTTATTGTTGCCTTACTGAAGGTTGAGCTGCTTCAGAATCTTTCTGGGAAACTCCTTTCCTTGGCTTTTGAAGAGTTTATTGTTCATTTATGCACTTAAAATTACAGGGTTCTGAGAAGTCTCAAGAGCAATACAAGCTTTAGAAATGCCAGCTCTGTAGTGATTGCATAAGTAGGCTGGGTTGTTGCCTCTCAAGAGTAGTTGCTGGGAACTGCCAAAAGTGAAATTGTCTAATAACACACACAGAATCATACCTTAGCTCATAAAGTTAACACTTCTGTTCCTGTGACACTTTCTCTTAAGTTCTGTTTGCACATTGCAGTGCTTATGCAAGTTTTTGCAATGAGAGATCTGGTTATTTTGTATGAGAGTTTGGTTTCTTGTACATACGAGGCTTTGCTTTTCTTCAAATAATGGGATTTGCTAGTTTTCTAAATGTGGCACAATCTTTTCTCTGCCTCACCTTGTTTTAAAAACTGCACTATGTTTGACTCTAGCACTGCTAATTATCTCTACCTGACATTGCAAACTCTGTCAGTGAGGTTATTAAATAGAGCAGAAAATTTAAATATTTGCACATTAGAGTTGCAGCAATGGAGTTATGTTAAGTTTAAAGCAATCCAGTTATCCTTTAGATTTTTATTATGTCTACATCAAACTTGTGTAAGATCACTTCTGGGGATAGACACATATCTAGTGAATGATATTTTCAGTGCTAACTGTATGCTCTGACTTGGTGGCTCCTTTTCTCCTCCAAACTCAGGAAAACTGAATTTGCAGGAAACAGTAAAACTTTTCCATCTATGATCGTGCTTTCTTCTTAAGCAGTTTTACAAAATGTTTTATTTTGTGTTTCTTCTGGGTCCTTATGTCTCATAGAGTTCAGACAGGAAAAGCTATGGCATTTATATATATTAATATAGATCATATAATCCCTGCTATAATTGGATGACTTTACAGATTGCTTTTTGGCCTGAACACTTCAAATTCAAAACATGAAAATTTAAAATCAGTGATTTTATTCTGTTTTGCTAGAAACATGTTTTATTGCTATCATTCCTTTAACATTAATAAAGCAAAAGGGCATATTAAAGATAAAGGCTGAACCCTCGTATAGTTATACTCTTGATTCTATTGGTTTGCCTGTATGGTAGAGGCTTTGGCAACAGTAGCTATCTCTAATTTTGGGTTTGCTTCTTGCTTCATTGGTTTAGGGCTTCCCTGTGATATCCTAGAATAGCTACTTGACTGCGATGGCCTTAAGCCATTAATACCTCATTTTGGAGGAGACCCGTGGACAGTGGAGGATTTAAATAAAGCATAGCAGAAGTGACTGGCCAACTGCCAGCCAGAGGACAAGTGGCTTCCCTTAAAATGACTGACAGAGCTTGAGCAGAGCCATGACTGGATTAGATGGTGACTAAGGAGTAAACTGCAGGCTTTTCCTAAGGCTTGCACAGTCTTTCTTGCCTCCTGCATCCTGAGGGGGGATGTGATAGAACCTGATGTACATCCAAGAGGGAAGAATCATCACTTCTTTTGTTACAAACAAATTGAATAAATGTATCCAAAATAAGCAGTTTGCAGTAAGACACTTTCTTTTTTAAATGTGGCAAAGGAAATTGTAACACTTATTCTGTGTGCTTGCAGAGAACAACAATGCCAAATGCTGTAACAGCTTTAACCTGACCTGATCTCTACTGTAATCCGAAATCCGGCAATCCCCTTTGCCTTGGTTCATTATCTCTGATGTCTGCAATTTAAATGCCGTGTTCAAGAATTAGGTATTAATCTTTTTTTGAGTTCCTTCAGTACTGAAGGTCACAGAGTGTTTTCTTTAGAGACAGGATTAAGAAATTTAGGCTACTTTGGGGATAACACATTTAAAACTTGAAATCTCCTTCCAAAGGTAAGTTAAAACAAGCTGTGTGGTTTTCCAGCAGTGCCCTTTTTTGACTACAAAATGCTTGTAGCTTTCCTTAATGTTTGCTGTTCATAAGCATTCAGGTGAGATACCAAGTTAGAATATTAACAGCAGCTGTAAGACTTGTCCCTTGCACCTTTGTAGTTTCACCTCGGGGTTAAGATTGTACATAAAAACTGAACACTGATACAAATTCAGCGGTTTTATCAGAATTCTAGTAAACCTTCCAAGAATTGTAACTTAAAGTGTTGGGCAAAAAGTTACCATAGCTTCAAGGGACGATGATTACGCTCAGCAGCAGCTATAGGGGAGAGCACAGTTTATGCTGTAGTCCCAGAATGGAGACTCTAACCAAAGGTGAAGATGGAGTGGAAGAATATGTTGGCAGGCTTATGTCATTGGTCTTAAACAGCTAGGTAGGTGGAATTGTAACAGATGCTGAGGAGTTGTGGATGTATCATGCTAGGTAGTTGTATCCTCTGGAAAATTGTGGCTGCCAGAAAATGGAAAATGCCTCCACCTCCTCTAAGGAAGACGTTGTCCAATCAATTTATGGTTTAACTAAATATAACTGTAGAATTTTTTTTTTATCCCAAATGAAACTCCTCCGTTTTATCTAGCTCTTTTAGATTATAGCTTAAAGAGAAAAGATGATTAGACCTAAAACATTTGACACTTCGGTTATTACAGTATCTGGGCCATTAAAAATGTGCTTCTCAGTTTTTTCAACTCTTGTAGAATCATTGTTTGGATAATATTTGTGTATGTGAGTAAAAAGGAGAGGAAAACACATTAGCAATCCCTGGGCAAATTTAGAGTTGAAAAATGTGTATGTTTTTGCATTAAGGTGTAAGAATTAGATGATAGTTTCCAGTTTCTCTCTGTTTATTGGATGCATTTGGTTTAGTGTCTTCAACATGAGAAGCTTCAAGTATTAGGTTGTAGCTGAGTAAAAGAGATTAAAATTCGTTAAGAGAAATTCCTAAATAAAACGAACTCCTGTACTGGAATAAATAGCCTCCCTGCAACTTTTTCCCCTTATGCTTTATGGGTTTTCCCAGTGACCAACAGTCATAGTTGAGAATGCAAATGTGTCCAACTAACTTAAAAGCAAGTTCAAGTCTGGGTTGGTTTTTGGTTTTTTATAATATTTAGGGTGCTTCCTTAAACTTGGTGGATGTTGAATCCATTCCTTATCTCTGTATGCTTAGGGAACTCTTACTTTTAACAGCTCATAGGAAGTACTAACTAAATACCAAGGTTTAAGGTCAATGCATAAACTTCATAGTTTGCATCTGTAGACGCATCTTGTGTTCAAAGGTTCCGGAGAAAATACTATAATGCATTGCTGTAATATGCACCTTCTTTCTGGTTGACTGAAGAATCAAAGGAATAAATGGTGGATACTCTTCCATAACAATGCTGCTTATTCTTTCGTTAACATAACTTTGCAAGATTTATTTGGTAAAGAACATGTTCTGTGTTCTTCATGACCCATGCCATTCTGTGAATTCAATATATGATGGTAATGCTAGCTGTTGGAGTTTTGTTAATAATAAAAAGTATCGATTTTAATGGGAAGTTTTACTTGAAGAAGAGCAGGAGAGCACAACTTGAGTACCAACGGAATGCCTGAGTCCCTTACTGTCACACTTGTGTTTTGTGCACCTTACCTGGTACCATTACTGCTGCTTCTGTGTTTTTCTTCCTTGCCTTTTCTTTTCTTATTTTTTTTCCTATAATCCCTTGCTTTTCTGGATACCCTGTAAGAATTCCTTGCTCGTTAATGACCTGTTTAATTTCTTCTGTTGTGCATGTGGACAACTGAATGTTCACACCAAAGGATAATGAGGTGCCCAGATTTGACAGTGTGAATACCAGAAGGGAAATGGGATGGCTTCCAACTTCCAGGTACTATGCTGGACTTTTGGACAGACGATGATGGCTATGAAATGTGTGGTGGGACTCTTCCACAGCTTTGGTTACAAAAATGAGTGGGGCATAAGCAGAGCTGAGGTTGTGAAAATTGTGTGCTTGTGAAGGTTCAATAAATTGCTGTCATAGTTGGATTCAACTTGCATCTTAAACTGCTGTCATATTATCTCAGCTCCAGGTGTAGAGGGGCAAGGAATTAAGACTGCCCCTGAGAAAACTGAATGGGTTTGTTGATGGCCTGGAAAAATAATTTAAGATTGGGAAATGTAGTACAGCATGCTGCTAGAAGATACTTAATTTTGGAACTTACTGAGTGTGAGGCGGGTGTCAGCCATTTTTATGTATTTTTGTAATTCCTTCTGTGGGTCATGATCTTAGAAACTAAGTTGAGAATTTGGGGTCAACAGTGAAACTGTCGCTGCTCTTAAGTTGCTCGAACTTCTACATGTCTCCTAATTTAATGACCTTTAATTTCTTGGCTTTGCTTAATTCTTCTGCATCACAATATCTGACTCGGCATTAGTATGATCATAAGAACGTCAGAGGTAGATTATTCTCTTAGTATTTGAGTAGAAGGTTTGTGCTAGTGAGCTGCTAATTCCAAGGAGCCAGTGTTTTGGGGATTTGTGATCTCTGTGCCTGAAATACTTCTTTGTAAAGCAAGTACTTAATAGTTTTCTTTGCATTTAACAATGTAAAAGTCACCAAGTTGTTTTAAATGTTAATTTCTAAATTTTGGCAGTTATTCTGCACTATTATCAGCTCTTAAATTAAGTCCAGTCTTGGTTTCAGGTAACTGTGTTGTGATATCCCAATTTTAAGTACACTTCTTTTTAGTGGCTGCAGTGAAAAGCCTAAAATGTAACTTAATTACTCTGAGTCAAACACAAATGCCAAATTCCCTAGCAATCTTATCTATGACATCTCCTTTACAAGCTTCCTTTTGTAGTGTATAAATAGATATTCCTGTTAAATATACTGGAAGATAATCAGTGACATGTTTTTCTTGATTCCCAGGCTCCTCTTGGGCTAAGACACAACTTCTCTGTATTGAGTAGTCTGTTTGAGGGTGTTTTGCTTTGCTTTCTATCAGATTTAATCAAAACAGGCAAACTATATTCATGTTGTTTCTGAATGGGATAGATGAAGGTATGTGGTGTTGCTTTTTTCCACTCAAACCATACTCTTATTTATCATCTTTTAAGCCATATTTCTTGTGGTATCTACAGAAACTTTGGGGTGTCTTTTATCTGTGCTCTGGTAAACTTCTTTTAGGTGTTAATTGCTCTGGTAAGGTGCATACGAAACATACAAATTACAGTAGGTGAGATCTTGCATATTTTTCTGACCATCAGTTAATTCAGAAATTCAAACACTAAAGTGGCTTAAAGCCCCTGGGCTTTTTCTGAGTTTAATTTTAACAAATATTTAAAACACTGTGGATGTGTCTGTGTGGCATGTTCTATGCATGCAAAAATTTTTGCAGCCTTGATAACAAATAGCATCCTTTTTAGTTTGCCAACTTACCTGGTGGTTATTGATGACGAATATGGTGCCAAGCTATGATAGCCAAAGCTCTAGTAGCTTGTTAAACAAGGACCAAGGACCATTTAAAAAAACCCCAACAAAACAACCCCAAAAACCCCAAATTTCTCTTCACCAAGCTGGCAGTTCTTCGTCGTTAAAGCTTTGTGAAAATGGCAATGCATGGAAAATGAGTTCGAAGGAGGACGATGAGGAGGAAGAATTCTCTGCAACAGGTAATTTTCATTAATTGTTAATGAAAAAAAGAAGCATTTTGTGTGTGTTTGGAAGAGGAAGAAGGGTCGTTTGAGTAGGCTTGTTTTTTAAAAGCTGACTGCCAGCCTCTGCCATCTTTTTTAATACTCCCATTCTTTTCTAGTTGTAGTAGTAGATGATGGAAAACAGCTTTTTGTGTAATTTAGGAATTGAAGTCGATTTTCTTGGTAATCCCTAGTTCTAACCCCCAGCTGGCATGGCTTGGTTAACTGTTTCACTTGCATACTGTAATTTTTTTTCTTGTGACAACAAAGATAATTAGTGATGTAGAAGGTGCAGGAGCAAATGCAGTAAGCACAACATAGAGCATCTCGACAATGCCCCATGAGGTGCCCACGCATCAGAAACACGAATGCAGAAACATTAGTAATGTTCCATTTCTGTGGGCAGCTTTGGTGTGTAGGTGTAACAGCCAAGTTCTCACGCTTGAGGCCATTTACAAGGATGAGTTCATCACACTTTTTTGTGTGTTGCTGCAGAAATTGTTGTAAGTCTCAGACAGCTACTCCTGTACATGTACTAAACAGATCTTAGGAGACTACTCTTGCCACTTGTTGAATTAATTGATCTTCTGGCTATGGTAACAAATCAAAAGCTTTGAACCAATCTAACTTTTAAACTGTTCCAGGAGGTCATTTGTATTTGTGGCCCCTGACACACCACCTTTTGAGAGCTAACTTTGAGATGAGTCCTAAGCTGACATTGTGGCTTGCTGGCATTGAAACACATTGTCTGCTTTTAGAAAAGCAGAAAACTAATTGAAGGCTGTACCTTTACAAAAGGTGTACATCATGCAGAAAAGTAACATACAATTAAACAGATCTAGAAAGTGTATTCTACTAATGTATGCTGAAGAACTGTTTTGCCGTCTGATGTCTCACAGTGTACAAGCTGTTTTGTGTAAACTTCAGCTAAGAATTTAGCTTCTGTTGTTGATTTTGCTAATTGCAAGTTTCCTTTTTTGTTTTCTATCCACAGCTTTTCATGTCTTTCACTGAGGAAACTTGTCAAGATAATTGCCCTTAACTAACCTTGGAGGAGCGTGTACAATGCTGACCTTAAGAAGAGAGAATGATTAGTATTTGAAGTAACTGCCAAAGACAGAGAAAACAAGCACATTTTTATGGATAATCTACTGAAGAAATAAGACTAAAGTCCATTAATAGGTTATCCTTAATCAGTAAAAAGGCACAGCTGCTGAAGGGAGAAAAGAAAAATAATAAAGAATAAAATTGCAAGGAATGTTTTTATTCTTAAAGGAACAAACTACATGTCATACGAACTTCTGAAATACTCGAGTGACATGTTTTGACTTTTCTCTAGTGATCTGATACTTCTGCAGTATTCAGAATTTGGTCAGCCTTCTGTTAGTAGACTCTGTAATTATTTCTGTCTATAAGCCATGATTTTGCTGCTGTTGACCAGGAATTAACTTGTAGGGACCTAACAGCATTCAAAAAATATCAAGACTGTTCTAAAAGGATAAGGCTATTCAAAATATCCATAGTATTTCAGCTGCTTGTTCTAATTGTGTAACTCGACGGAATAGAGTTGAACTCCAGCAGTATGGTAGAAATACCCAGATGCAGCCGAGGAAAGCATGTTTTGTACTAGGCATAGGAGCCAGTAAATCTGTTGTGGAGCGTTGATGCTGTACAAGCTGCGTTTCTTCAACAAACCATGTGTCACTCATTTCTAAATGTGTTAATACGGTGTATATGAGAGAGGATACTCTCACTTCATGTGAGGTATGCTAAATACATAGTTGACAGGAAATACTAATATTATAATGAGTTTTTTAAGTTGGCAGTCTTAGAGAGTTGTATCAGAACCTTGTTACTCTACGCATTTATTTGTATAAATGAACTTCTCTGCATCAGAGATGAAATGGCAGATGCTGTTTGGAGACTTTACAGTGACTTTTGTCTTTACAAATTCGTGTAATTCTTTTAAAAAGTTTATAAAACAAAGTATGTCAATGCAGTGTTCTTTTGCTGAATAAGGTTTATAACTATGATGTAAATTTTTTCTTTTAGTAATCACAAAGTTATATTTTCCAGCATTCTGTGGAATGCTACCCAGTTGTGGTGTTAAACTTTGGTAATTCTTTGCATTAAAACTGTACAGATGACAATGTGTACCCAATTTTTTTCCTTTTCTTGAAGGGCTCTTTTGATGCTTTATGAAGTCTCATAGCTGCGTTTCCGTCCCTGCTTTTTATCATAACACATTAATGTGGATGTAGCTAGACCCTCTTACCTATCTGTTCTTAAACAGCATGAAAATAGTCAACCTATTTAGTGCTTGTTTTGGGGCCTATAGTGTTTCTCATACAGCACAAACATGCTGATTGTATCTGGGGACAAATAAGTGACCTTTTTGTACTGCTGTTCAGAACACGATGAAAAATGCCTGCCCCTGAGACCAAATCATTAATCTTCATTTCTGAGGATCAGCTCTTTGGTATAGAGGAACACCTTTGTGCTTGTCCAGGTCACAGCTGTGCAAACAGGAATCTTGGCATGAGTAGCTTGAACATTTATTTGTACAAAAAAAAAAGTATTAAAGTCTTCTAAAAACTAAGACTTTTGGATTCTCCTGTGAAGACAGACACTCAGCATGTCAGCAGCAGGTAACTACTTTTAAAATACCTTATTTCAATACTATTTAGCAAATATTGAATAGTCAGGTAATTTTTACATTGTCACTTACTAGATTTTTCTATTTTTTTGTAGATATCCGAGTTCCAGTCCTGGATAGGTAAGTATTCTTAACACTGCTTTTTAGCAGTAACTCTTTCACAGAAAGCTAAGTTGAAGTTTATTCACTTCTTTATTTTGCTCTCCAAATATTTTTTTTAGGCTATTTCATGTAGATAACTTGATTGTGGCTTACCATGTGCATCTAGATGCACAGTAAGACTCCTTATAAATATTACACTTAGTTCATTAACTGCAAAAAGTTATTCCTGTTTCTAATTTTTCCTGCTCAAATTTTCAGAAGCATTTTATGCTTCTTTAGGCAGATTGATTTCAGTAGCCTGTACTAGAAATTAACTTTCTCCCAACACCTGAACAAGGATGTAAGTGCCCCGAACAGTCTTCTAATGTAGTTATGATTGTATATTTGTATGTGCATGTGCATAAGTGCACTGGTTTTAATTCAACTTTCTCCTTTAATTTGCAGCCTTCCAGTGTGGTGTTTTTCTTGCCTCTTCATGACCTCGTGTCTTGAGCAGCCTAGCTGGATCCCCTGGTTCCTGTTTCTTCTTGTTTCAAAATTCTGCTTTCCCCCATTTAAAATCCCCCACCCTTTTATATTCATATGCATATGCTAGGCTCTTACTACCTGGTTTGGTCTTCACTGTTTTTTTTCTAAGACTTTGGGTTCCATCCAAGATTTTTCCCTGTGGCACTGTTTTCCTGGGTTCCCTGCCACAGTGGAATAAGTTTCTTGTGTAGAATATTTCAGCCATGCTTTTGCGGTTTTAGGGACCCAATGGTCCTCATCTACGTTTCTATTCTGCTACTTTCTCTTGCTCTGTAAGTAGATGTTGGGGAAGAAGTTAAGGCTGTATCCTTTGCTGCTCTACTTGTAAAGCAAGTGTATTAACTTTTTTTAAAGAAGCAAGAGAGCTTGTGGATTGTGGGGGATAAGCAAAGTGTATGTGTTCTGGAGGTAAAAAAAAAAAGCAAACAAACCCTCCACAACAACCCATCTCCTCTCAGACATGTTTAGATTCATGAGATGTTTGTTCTGCCCCTTTCTGTCCTTATTAGGAAATGCGGTGCATGCTTCCAGGCTAAATGTAGTTCTTCCTTTTTTTTTTTTTTCCTGTCAAGTAATCCCTATTTCTGTTCAATTTTTTTATATAATTCTGAGGAGTCTTTCTGTGCAAGTGCTGAGCTATGGAATCCCTTACACTCCACGCTGTAAGAGAATCACTGCTGAATAGAACGTGTCTTAGATTCATCTGAAATATGTTTTGTTTTCTTGTATAAAACACTCAAAAATAACTTCTTGAAAATGTTTGGTTATAAATCTCTTCAGTTATCTGGTCACTCCTTTGCTGACTGATTCTGAAAAAATACTAAGCATATGTGTGTTTTGATCTTCTGGCTCAAAGCGAGGCATTTGGGAAGCAATACCAATGTTTAATTTTAGCATCTTTTGGCGTTCCATGTTGCAGTAGTTGTGGATTTCAGTATGCGCAAGTTCAAAGTGACTGTACACTCAAAGTTTTAATTTTTCTTGCTATGACTGTTGTAGTGCAGCAACGATTTAAAATCTTAGTTTAACTTTCGATTCAGCTACAAACCAGGAACCTATTAACATAGTACATTACAAAAATGTAAAGCTATTATGTCTGAATTTCTAGTCATGTAAACACTTTTGCATCATTCTTCCTGTGTGAATCCTTTTGGGGGGAGTGGGCAGGTGGCTCTGGGGAGAAAAAAATGCTGCGGTTTTCTTACACTAATTGAGTAAGGTTTGTCATGGTAATTCATAAGGACGTCTGTCTCTGTGTACAAAATAAGTGGTAAAGCACATTATATGAAAGTATTATTTTAACTTGAAAAGTAGCATTTGCACAATGTACAAGTAGTGGGTTTGATTTTTTGGAGTTCAGAATATGGCACTGGATTTCTGACCGTCATGTGGACTGCTGATATTTTCATGGCAATTCTCATTGGAGAAGGCCCCTCAGTGGTTTTATTTTTCTTTGTGTGTTTTGGCAACATAGACCTATCCAAATAAATCACTGTCCATGGTTGTTGGGTTTAATAAATTATTTTTTTTTAAATAGCCATGTAAATTGTATTGCCTGAGATCTTTACAGTACCAAAACTTAGAATAGTTCCTCTAAGCCAAGTTGAGAATAATTGCAACTTTGTTCTTTCTTTGTGTTTCAGGGAAATGAGGCAAGCTACCCTTTGGAAATGTGCTCGCACTGTAAGTTTTTTAATTGCTACATATAATTTTAAAGACGTTAAACTTATTTGGAGATTGAGATGTACAACTTTCATGTATTAATTTACTGCTTGAAAGGTCATGCAGGTTATATGCTAACCAAAAGAGTAAAATTAAAAGGTGAGAAATTGAAATAACACAGTTTTGTTTTTAGATTATAAAATCAAAAATCTTTGAAAAAAATAAGGTATAAAGTTTTTTTATTTTTTCCATTAGAATACAAAACAAATGTGATAGTTTTGATATCTGTACGGTGAAGTGTTATAACTGGTAGTTCAACAGGGTTGTGCCAGATCCTCAGATGTGGGGCAGCTTGTGGTGCACCATGTGCTGCGTTAGGAGTGAAGTTCATTGCCTAAGCTGTCCTTGCACCCTCAGAGGAAAGAGAGGTTGAGGCTAAAACATCATTTCTTTCCTGCATGTGTTTGCAGCCAGGCATTTAGGTGAGAAGCCACTTGGTGTTACTCACTTTTGGCCACGTGAGCATGAAATTCATTGCTGTGTCTCATGGGATTAGTCTACCCTGTAAAAACAACAAAGTATTTCTTGCCTAAAGCTGACCAAAGAAAGGGTTGTGTTGTGAAGTGTCCCTGTGGTGGTACACTAAGGGTACTTATTTTTAACTGATTTTTTTTCCTTTAATGTTTTTCTTCAGCACTAAATCATGCATAGACCTGTGTATATATGTATGGACTGATTGATAAAATTCCCATTCTTCGGTTAATCAGATCTTGTTCTTAAACAGGATAATAAATTCTTCAAGATAGTCACTATCTTCTAGGCTGCTTTCACAGTGCGCAGGTCATAACTGAAGTCCAGCTCTCATAAGTCAAACAGTAATGCAAAATGAACAATAGTGGAGAACTCTCTTTCTAAATAAATATTTCAGAGAAATGAGGCTTTTGCCAGTAATTTGCAAATCTTCTATGCTTAGTATACATGTCCATGTAAATTATAATTTGACGCATCAGTTTGTAAACACTTGGGAATCTTACCCACAGCACTGCATTGCTGTGTTATGCTCTCAGTGTGTATTTTGTTAAATGTGGATATATGAGTGGAAGTTTCATATTTGATGAAGACTTCAATAATCGTCTTCTGGGTCATATATATCGATCTTAGGTTACTGCTCCATTGGTCATTTTTTCCTTGGGGACAAACCAGCTTCTGAACTGATTGTAGGACAAGCTATATTCATTGGTAGCTACTGCCAACCTAGAGGGTTATTGCTGAGCTTGTTTACCCCCTTTTATTGCAGAGAAAGAGAAGATTTTCACATTATATTCTGTGGTTAAACTGTATTTTGCGGATATCGTTATACAAATCTGAAGTTTCACATGATTAAAGCTTTTTATGCTTTGACAGCCCTTCTCACAACAGAGAGAAAGTCAGCTGCTTCTCTGGGCTACATAACTGCATACACTAGGGAAGATGTAGTTGTCACAAACGTCCCTTTGCTTGCTTGTGACTAATCACTGGAGTGATTGCACTGTGCTTGAAGATTCTGCATGCCTGAATATCCTGGAAGAGCAGGGTTTGGGGCACAGATCGGTACAGTAACATGGCTGTGAGTAAGTCCCCTAAGTAGGTGTTCACTTTTTGTTCTTCAGACATTAAATGTTCACACTGCTTCTGAGTAGTTGTCACTGACAGGACAAAAGCTTTTTGAGGCAAGACCAGACAATGTTTCTGAAGATAATTTGATAAGGATTTTGAATGGTTAGACTTCTGGGAGACTGTCAGTTAGCAATAATAAATTCATGCTGTCTGCATGGTGGCATTGGGTCATAACCTCTGCCTGGCACTGCAGTCGCTATTTTGGTGTCTCGTTTTAACAGAATAATTTTGTTTTGAAGTTGGCAGTTACAGGAAGCAAATTCAGGATACTCTGCAGAGGATGCACGCCATTAAATAGTCAAGAATATTCTTTTTACCCTTCATTTTAGAACATTAATTCTTTTCAGTGGGTGAATTAGTGTTGTTGGATTCCTTAAAATAGTGTGGTTTTGGTTCTCAGCTGTGCTGTGTCTGAGAAATTACTGAAAATCTTGTGCTGTTTTACCTGATGTCAGCCAAGCTATGTCAAATTACCTATAAGGAAATTTAATCATAGCAAAATGCTGTGAAGAAAAATATTCTACAGTAAACAATATTTTATAATATAATATTTTATAGTAGAAAATAGTTTATAGTAGAGTATTTTATCGTATGTTTTGTTTTTAGGATAAGGAGACTAGTATCTCTTTTCTAACTTAGGAAATTGTAATTGACACATCTGAAGTCATGAAAAGGATTAGGCCAGCTGTGTGTAAGCATATACAAGACAAGTGGTTGAATGTGTTCTCAAGGGCGTCATCTTTTTGAAATCTGATCTCCAAGACTGAAATGGCTGTCTTGGTTGCTACTCTGAAACATTATATTCGTGAATCAGACAAGACTGTAGATAGAGGTGAGAGCTTTTGCTGAAGGTCTGTTTTCTTTTGAGATCTGTGCAAGCCTTTCCTACAGGGGAATTTTTTTTTAACTTGGAAAAGTTTAAAATAAATTTCAGAACATGTTCATTACAAAAAATATTTTTTCTGATACCTTAGCAATATTCTTGTTTATAATTTCATATTTGTGAAATATGTGGAAACTAGGCTTTCTCTGACCATGCGCTGGTCTGGTTTTTGTTAGTTACAACTTTGAGCCACTATTTTAAGAGTACCTGAAAAGCCAAACTTTTAAATACAGGTTTAAGCATTTAGGTAAACACTTAGATTTCAGAAGTGCTCAGCAGCGCTTTGCTGAGAGATACGCAGCTTTTCTAAGGCTTGTACACTTTCCAGGTGCCTGTGTAAGTGGTGCGTACTCTGCAGCAATGGATGTACAGTGCTTCTGAATACATAAGCAATTACCCTGTTAAGTATCAGTCGGTGATCTGTATTTTTAAGGCATTCTTTACTTTTGGCTTTCATATTAATAGCAGTCTGACCATGCACCTTTACACTGACCAGAGGAAAAAAAAAATCATTCAAACAAATGTTCTGAAATTGCTTTTTTCAAGGTAGAAAACATTGCACTCCAGAAATTTGCTTTTAATGAAGCTTTTTGAGTTGCCACTTGAATGGTTTTTACAATACTATTGGAGAATCAGCTATGTGACTAGCAGCTTGAAATAACAAATTGTTTTAAAACATCATGGACCATCTGCTGTTGTTTAGGGGGAGAGGAGTGGGGTATTCAGTAATATGTGATTAGAGAGTGCCCAGGTGAAAGATAAAGCTCCTGTACTAAAATGGGAGTTAAAGCATTTGAATGTGGTTTCTTGGAAGCAAGGCATTCTTGCATTTTAACCTGATTCATCACATTTTTAGATGTGTGCCAATGAATTCAAGATACAAAGCAGGTGTTGTTAGCTCTAGAATTTTACTACTTGGATGGAGGAGGAATCTTTTCAAAATACCGGTAGTTCTTCAACAAAAAATCATTAAAAGTGGAAATGCTTAAAAAAAACTCACCTTGTTCTGTTAGTTACAAGGTGAACGAAGTTCAAAATGGATTATGAAATAAACATAAATAATTATGTGTGCTTTAAAACAGTGAATAATCTGATGTTTCTACAGGGCTACCAGCAAAGCCTTTAAGACAAACATTTAACAGGTACTATTTCTTGCCTGTTATTAAGTTTGTAAGCTCAGGAATCAGTGGCAAGCTGATGAGATACTTTCTGATTCTGCTGAAAGTCCTAGGAACCATAGAGCCACGTGTCAGCTGGTGAGCAAAGCACAAAAAAGGCTAACTTGAGCTGGACGTTAGAGGAACGCTCACTGCAGCCAGAGCTGAAGGAGGCTCAGAGCGCTGTGATGAGTCACAGGCAAACTCTGCTTCAAATGATGTAAACAAAGTTTGATCCTCCTTATTTTGCTCAGTGATGTTATCACCCTGTTTACGCTGTTGTGGACTTGGACCTCCTTGGATTTCTGAGTGTTTTCATCTCTAGCCTGGTCTCCTGAGCTTGCCTTGTAAAATTCTGTCTGCTGCTGCCACCATCAGTCCTTCTGGCTGAGAAACCATCACTGTATCTGAACTGTCCTGTGCCTTGTGTTTCCAGTACAGCTTCAGGACGTTTGTATGGGCGCTAGGATGCCTGTAAGGAGCCTTTGGAGGAGAAGGAAAAGAAGTATTTTGTTCAGGCTCTGAAAACTTAATTCAGTATTCTGTTCTTCAGTGATAGCTACATGAAATTTTAAGAAAGTCAGGCTGTTTCTAAATACTGAGGAAAAAGTGGTCTTGGAAAAAGGAGCACATCCATCACAGATGCCTTTGCACATTCAGGGAGGAAGTGACGACTGTGAATTAAAGAAAAAATAGACAAAAACTATGCAAATTTAAAATAAGGCTTGTACTGTAATGCATTCATCCCTTATTTTATATTCTGATTATTTTTAAAGCCATTTTACGAAGACAAAGATGTTACTGACTTTTTCTGAAGTGTATAAGCTTTTTACATTTCAGCTTGTGGAAAGGATTTTAAAGGTAGGTGAGGTGCTTGCAATATATTTAAGGAAAAAATAATGAAATTGTTCTGATATGAAATACTCGTACAGTCAGTTATGAAATGCTGACCTGCAGATGGTTTTATCTATATATGTTCATTATGACCAGAGGCTTTTATGGTCATGAACTATTAATGGAAATTTTCCTATTCCTATAATTATTTTGATTTTTCATTATTTTCTCCTCCAAGTACTTGCATCCATGGTGTGTCCGTTGTCAGAAAAAAAAGGTTGGATGAGATTTGATATTTGGTCAGCTTTTGGCAGAGATACGAATTTCTTCACTACTGTTCTTTGACTTGTTCCTCCACGCCGCGTGCCCTTCCCCCCCCCCCCATTAGAACCTCTCTCAGCTCTGTAATACAGGCAAGCCCTTTGCTTGAATGCCTCAAGGTTAGGAATGAGGAATTTGTGATGCCCATTTCTAGGAGAAACTGCTGCTCAGTGTCTACCTTGCCTCTGTATTGCAGGTAAACTGGAGTTGACTGTGTGAGCTGTGAAATTGAATGTGTGTATGTGTGGAGAAAGAGTAATTACCATTTTTTTAAAGTCTGAAGACTCTATTTTCATAATTTAGGCAGTTGTTCCTTTGTTACAGTTCAGGAAAACACAAAAAACATTCTTGAAAAATACTCTATGTGCTTTTCCAACCTCTTCTCCTTCCCATTATCTGATTCTTGTCTTTATCATCCATAATCTTGACCTCCTTGACTACAGTCTTTAAAAGAAAAAAATACATTGGTGCTTTATCTTCTCTTAAGCATTGCTGGCTTGTAAATATAAGTATCTGGCTAATTGCAAATGTGAGGCTGGTTAACTGAAGGGTGGTTTTTACACCCAGCAGATGATGGCAGAGCATGTATTTTCAGTGTAGCATCATTGTTAACACTGTGTGGTGGATCAGTTTCTGAATGTCCCAATAAAATGTTCTTTTTTAATTCATATTGGTAGCTCCTCCTAGAGATAGATTAGCCTGAGATAAAATACCTTTCTGGCAAAAGTTTTTCTTAGCACATCTTGTGTGGAAGATCTTATGTCTCTGCTAACTCATCAATTTGTGTGGCAAGGGAGAAGAGACCCAACTATGTCAATGCTTCTTTCACTTTTCTCCATTATGATTTTGTGAAATTACAGAACTGTGAAGTATTGCAGGTTCCTTAGGAGGCTTTAATCTTTCTATTTTAGTCAGTGCTAGTCATTACATTAGTATTGGAGGTGAGATTTCACTGATCTATCGGAGGAGGACAGTATACACTATAGATAATGCTTCCAATTTGCTCTTTAGTTTTAAAGTGAAGTTTCTAAAGGAAAAAATAATGCACGTACCTTCTATTTTTCTTTTTTCTAGTAGGAAGTAGTTCTAATAGTAACCCTCACAGAACTTATTTTGAGGTTTTCTAGCACGAGTTCTAGATGTAGTTGCAAGCTTCTGACTTCAAAAATAGGTAATTTGTGAAGGATTTGCCTTAACAAAATAACTGTCAGTTGCTTGAAAGATGTGATTTCTGAGTCTGGGTAAGGAAGCAGGAGAGTTGTGGTTGGACCAGGATGTCATTTTAAACATGACTAATAAAAGTAGAGAGGCTGTCCATGGCTGGACAACTCCTTATGTACGTTATTGTAATATAAATTATGTCTATTCATACATTCATTTTACATTGGAAAATGTGTTTGCATAGGTAGTGTGACAAGCCACACTTAATGTTTTTGTGCTGTTTCAGATGCTTATGCTGTGAGGATTTTTTTAGGATATTAACTCTTCCTATGTGAGTTGCAAGCCTGGAGCAGAGCTTGCAGTAGAAATGAGGTTCCCACATGGACAGCTTGCCGAGGTGCTGGCTTTGCATTAAACTGTAGTGGGTCTGGTAACTTCAGGGCAGGGAGCAGGGGTAGGTAGTGCCTACTGTTTCAGAGGCTGGCTGACTCCATTTACAGTTTTAAGATTTTGAGGAAAACAGAAAGCAAGGAGTTTCTGTGGACAGAAGCAAGAGTTGGCAAATACTTTCAGTATGTTGGTGAGCAGCAGCATTTTGTGCTGGCAGAACTCATAAGCAACTATTTGGGCTAATTGTTAGTGGAGCTCTGCTTTGTCATTCTTTTTTAATACTGTTGTCTTTTAGTCTCATCATCCTGTCCTACATATAGCTTACTGTATGGCAATACGGCTCCCTTTGTGTGATCCAGGGGGGTTTCTGTGTAGCTATGCCGACGGTAATGTGCTCATGAGGCTGCAGTGCAATGTCGTGCTGTTAAGGGCACGCCTTCAATCATGTTCTAGGCTTCTGTGTAAACCGGTGGAAAAAGGAATGTGGCTTAATTGCAGTCGAGAGCCTAATTAATTGAAATACCAAACTGCATATTGGAGGAAACCGCTTTAAGCCTCTGCAAATGCTGTTTAGCCTTATTTTTATAGCCCTAGAGGGAGAATCAGATCTGTCACTTGCTGGCACAGCAAAGGGAAGATTATTCTGGGAGTATCGACCCTTTTTTGCCCTCTGCCTCTGTAGCTGCAAGCACTTACCAAGACTGACTAACTGCAGAATGTCAGAATTTACTATTTGGGCAAAATAAGCCTTGACAGAAAATCACCTTGTGCTTCTGGACTTCTGGCATGCTCTCTCTCTCTTTCAGTCTGAAATAGTGAGTTGTCTCTATCTCTGGATTTGTGTCTGGTTGGATTTTAGACAAGGATGTCAAGAAATTTAAGTGGAAGTTTGTTCCTGCTTTGGTAGAGGATCAGGTCTCTGCATCGGCTACAATTTCCAGACAAAGCTCTGCATGTTGGCTGACCTTATGTACTGGAAAGACTAAGAGCTGTTTGGTTTTATGCTGCACTTTTACAACAGCCTAAGAAGGTATTAATGTGATGTAAAGTGGATCAGGTGCTATGTATGTGCTTTGTAGAAGTTAAGAAACAGTTTCTTCTGGAGCAAATGCATTAAATGGAGCCAAGAAATGTCGAGACTGTTCATGTTAGGAAAGAAATTGGTACGGGGAGTTTGAAAGCTTCAGGTTCTGTAAGATGCATTTGCTGTAGTTTGCTGTATGCTGGCTGCTTTCTAGGACTTCCCAAGAACCTCAGTTCCTCCTTCGTACCCAAACATGGTGAGCAATTTGTGAACTAACTTTGGTCTCGTAAATCAAGCTGGTAATAGGGAATTTTCAGCTTGTTACAGGGGAAATTTTTCCAGCTTTTCAGCAGTAACAGAGTGTAAGATTATTTTTTTTTTTTTAGTGGTGCTTATGGGTTCACAGATTTAGTCTATTCCTTGCAAAATCAGAAGCATAAAGTAGGGTAGTAGGTATATGCTTTAATCAAGATTCTCTTGATATTTGAAGAGGATAGCTGAAGTGGTACTGCTGCAGAACCTGAATCTGCCTTAACTTCTGGGACCAAAAAAAAAAAAAAAATGTATGCAGGTCATGGCTACAGGTATGTCTATTTCCTGATTGAGATAGAGGAAAGAAATTATCTTAGGTCTGTCTGGGTGATGTTTTGAGTAGGTGAGTGATAACTGGTCAACACTGGGACTGTGTTAACCTGCTTAACTTGGCGTGTATCCCAAGAGATCCCATATGTTTGGTGTGCTGAAGAAGCTCCAGTTTTGCTAATACGTTTACTAATATAAATGTCTTTCTAACTCATTCTCTTAGTCTAGTGTAGATGTAATGCTAGCTCCTTCAAAGAAAACTCGGTCTCTCTTCATTTCTTCATACATGCTATTTGTCAGAGCTGTCTGGCTAAGAACTAGCTAAGCATCCTCAATCCTTAAAAATGTTGTGTCAGCATGTGGTATTCGGTGAGTCACAAGGCTGCCTATTATGGCTGGTGCAGGGAGGAAAAAAGGTAAGGGTTATTTAAAATAAAATGAATAGGCTTGCGTTTGTCTTGGGAATTTGACATTATCTTTACAATCTTCCATGAGTGTATTTAATAGTTGTAATAAAGTAGGAGAAATTCTGGTAGGAAAGCAATGAAGAAATGCACGTTGTGTTTAACTGGCAAAACATTTACTGAAGCCTTTCTGAGAATACGTTGGTTTTTTCTCCTTTCAGTTGATGCTGATGAGATAAAACGACTAGGGAAGAGATTTAAGAAGCTTGATTTGGACAACTCTGGTTCTTTGAGTGTGGAAGAGTTCATGTCTTTACCTGAATTGCAACAGAACCCATTGGTACAGCGAGTAATAGATATATTTGACACGGATGGAAATGGAGAGGTGGACTTCAAAGGTAAGACATGGTGCTTTGTGACAGCTGGTGGCATTTTCTACGAACCCCTGGAACTTTAGAATTCAAATTTTGCTTCAGCTGAGAAAGGAGGGGTGAAGAAAACCTGTTTAAATCAGAACAAGGTGCTAATTCCTGGTGAAACTGAGTACCAGTAAAACTAGTTTCTCTGGTGAATTAGGGCAATGCACTCCTGAATGAAATGCTGAAAAGAGCGAAGTGTTTAGTAATAGCTTAGAAGAGGGAAGATTGTTTAGTAATCATACTGATTTAGGGCTATTCATTAAGTATCTCTTAAAGTACACTGATTCTGACTCTTTAATTGTGGTGCCATCTGAAGTATTTTAGGCTGAAGAGACTATGAAAAAAGTGGGGTAGGCTGCGTAAGCAGTGTGTCTGTGCATAAGTTGTATCCAAATGTTACGAGATCTCTCTTGGAGTATTTTGAAAATTGTGAAAGTGGTCCAAATTTTTCTTCTGATGCTTCCTTTATGGGATCCTTTTTATGATTTTGGGTTGACAATTCAAGTGAAAAAGAAAAGTTTTTGTGGTACATTCCTCCAAAATTTCAGATTTACTTTAAATATTCATGATTAAAAGGACCAGCAGGTTAAAAAAAATCTTCTTTACTAGTTTATGTTAAAACAGTAATATAATTCCCAAGAGCTGGTCCTCTTGGGTAGGAACGGGAAACTGTCAAAATCAATTTTGTATAGTAAAATGCTGCTGCTGCAGTAAGTGGCAATGAATTCTATTGTCGTCTGGCCAAGTTTGATTAATTTAATTTCTTTATTTCTGTCTCAGAGAGAAGCGCAAAGGCAAGGTTTTGAACTGAGAGTAGGTATAGATTGGATATAAGGAAGAAATTCTTCTATGACGTGGGTGGTGAGGCACTGGCACAGGTTGCCCAGAGAAGCTGTGGATGCCCCCTCTCTGGGAGTGTTCAAGACCAGGTTGGATGGGGCTTTGAGCAACCTGGTCCAGTGGAAGGTGTCCCTGCCTCTGGCAGGGGGATTGGACTCGATGATCCTTAAGGTCCCTTCCAAGCCAAACCATTCTGTGGTTCTATGAAAAGGAAAATTACTAGTGTGAAGAAACCTGCGTTCTTTTGTTGAAAGACCTAAAAGTTTTATAGATTAACCTTTAAGCATAATGTTATTTAAAAAAAAAAAATAAAAAAAAATCAATAGATCATATAGGAATTCTTGATTCAATTTCACAAAACTTGTTGAAAGGATAGCAGGCCTTTCAACCTGTACTGCTGTACCTCTGTATTATCTTTATACCACAGTCTAGCTTGCCAGTTTTGCACCACCCAAAGCCCTAGGAAGTCTGGTTACAGGACCTCATCCAGGAACATCACTTGCCAGTGTTTTATTCTTTGGGCAACGCAAGAGTTTGCTTGTGGGTTAATGACTTCATTGCTAAACGGTGTAAACTTTCTTTTTCCGCTATTTCTTTTAGAAAAATACTTTTTAAGGAATTTATTTTAGAGCAGTTTTCAGTTTGATGTAATTCTTGCTTCAAGTTGAGAAGTGGAACTTGAGAGGAGCTGTACAATTAGAATCCCCACTGGAGCAGTTTTAGTAGAGGTCTCAGCGGAGTTTGATATCAGATTCTGGTGAAAATCTAGTTCACAATTACTTAAATACTGGTGTGACCCAGTCTGTCCAGTGAGCGCAGTATTGGATTTGAAGTACTTCTCACTAAAGAATGTTGAAGTATCAAAGCAAGTGGACTCTTAGGTGTCACAAGGTAGAAAATATTTTACAGATTTTAGGGTAATCTAGATTCTTTTTACAATTTTTAAAAACTTTGAATGTTGATTTCCTTGGTTTATTAAAAAATACACTTTTTTGTCAATGTCTTTCATATGTTCTTTAGAATTTATAGAAGGAGTCTCCCAGTTCAGTGTCAAAGGAGATAAGGAGCAGAAGTTGAGGTGTAAGTATTTTGGTTTTCCTTAACAAAAGTTTTTGATACTCAAAAATACACTTTTGTTAGTTAACACTGAGAAATCGGTAAACCCAGATTCTTTTTAAAAAAGTGGGAAATGGTAAAGGTAGATTGTAAGCTTTTGCACACATTGTCATTTGTGTGAAGAATTTGCCAGCACTCTTTTCTGCAGGGGAATGTTTGAGGTTGCTGCCTTCTGGATATCTTCAGTTGCTTCGCATTTGAAATAAAATCATTTAAGGATCCTTATTTCACAAAACTGTGTAGCAATGTGCATTGCCTTTTTGCTACTACAGTAGAACAGCGCTAAGTTCTTGTTTGAGAACTGCATCTCAGGAACACAACATGACCCAAGCTTTTGGAGCGGGGAAGGGGGATAGGTTCAGTCAGGGGTGTAGCTTTCAATAACTAAGACATAATACAGTTTTCAGAAAAAAATTTGCTGTACTGAAATGTTTAAAAATTAATTCAGTCTTAATGCCAAATTGTTTGCAGTGAAGTAGCCAGGTGGGATTTTGATTCATCTGTTCCCTGGAAGTTTGTAATTTTTTTCTGCTTGCAAGTGAGCTGCTACCTGGGTGCTTTACTTGTGGTGGTGAAGATTTTTTTTTCAGTTCAGTGTTTATAATTCTTTTACTGCTGGTGCTAAAACGATCTCAATTGACATTTTTAAAGTGGTTTTTTTTTTTTTTTTTTTTTCAAACTCGATAATAGCACTGTCCATTGTATTGTTTGAGTTCCATGTTTTTTGGAATGAAACTGAAAGGCTGTTGGAAATCCCACTTAAAATGCGGTATTTTTCTCAGGTTGTACAGGTTTGTGTCATTGCTTATTGTTAATGCAAAGCACATGAATATATATTGCTCTTTTCCAACCACATTTGTTAATGCAAGTTTTACATACATATATATATATGTTACTTCTGCAGTTGCTTTTCGCATTTACGATATGGACAAGGATGGTTATATCTCAAATGGAGAGCTCTTCCAGGTGCTGAAGATGATGGTTGGGAACAATCTCAAAGACACTCAGTTACAGCAAATTGTAGATAAAACCATAATTAATGCAGATAAGGATGGTGATGGAAGAATATCGTTTGAAGAATTCTGTGCTGTAAGTATCCTCTAAAGAAAACTTGGATAATTTGGAATTAAAAAAAAAAAGAGGAAAAATGGTAAACGGTATAAAGGGTAAGATTATGAAACAGGGCGTTTCTTCTGCCCTGGCAACAGTCACCCTTTGACACAGCTTTATCATAGATGGTGTTCTTGTCTTACAGCTTCCAATAGAGCCACGTGTTTTATGATGTATGAGCAAGTCTGAGTCTGTTCCTTCAGGATGCACTCTTTCTCATTGAATCTAGCGTGCCTGAAGGAGATTGCTTCATTTGGAGCACAGCAACTTTTACAAAATAATTTGTGTCATTTTAGGACATACTAAACACAAGACCAGTCCTAATTATTTTTCTACGAAAATGCTAGCCTGGCATGAAGACATATATTGGATCCCAGTCTCTATGCTGATAGAAAATCGCAGCTTTAAAGATGAGTTGCGAGTCACCAGCTTGTCGCAGGAGGCTGGTTTTCCTTGTTTTCAACAGTTAAATTTGATTCAAAAAGAAATACCACTTCCAGTTGTTCCAAATGTCTGTCTAGCTGCTTAGAGTACACTGAGTGAAAAAGATCAAAGCATAGTAGGCAGGCACATGCAGTCTGCTGAGGGGGGGCAGAAATGCTTCAAACCCTCTGAAAGCTGTAAAACCAGAGTGCGCCATAGCAGACCCCCCTTCCAAAAAGTATTGCTATCAGGGGTGGTGCGTGGAGGGGAGAGGTGTGTTCCATAGAGGTGAGCTTTAGGTTAATCTCCCAATCTCTAAATTAGGTATCTGCTCCAAATCACCCTTCAGAAAGGTTTATCTGTGCAGGGTGTGGAGGGAGCCTGGGGAGATTATCGCCATCTGCAGAACAGGGGGATTTTACAAAGGCTGGGGTAGCCGGATTTGTGTCAGTTACAGGTAAGAGTAACCCCTCAAGTGCTGCTCTTGAGAAGGCACAAACAGTTGAAAGGTGCATTTTAAAAACTCTCCAGGTATTGCTGAGCAGAATGCTTGAATGTAGCGCTTGAGACTTGAAATGGTTGATTTTCACCCATGTCATGTATTTGTTTAATGAGTTGACAGCAAGATTTAAATTCCCTTTCTCTTTAAAAAAAGTAAATGACACATTGAAACATTTGAAGATCGTAATAATGAGTGTCTACACATTAATTTTAAATGGTGTTGGTGTATTAATGAACATACACTTGGGTAGCACAGTGAGTCAACAGGCACTCAAGCGTTGCTTTTGTTTCCTGCTCTTTGAATTTACAACTTCAGTTCAAACAACTTGTACTCAAGACCAATGCAAATTCTAAAATAAAAAAACAAAAACGGGGGGGGAACCCTGCCCTCCCCCAAACTATTAAAGCAAAAAGGTTCTATTGTCTGCAGACTTTATTTAGTAGAGTTTAGTTATTTTTCTGGCATCATCTGCAAAGAACTCATTCAGAGTGGTGGCCTGCAAACACCTCGCAGATCAGTGAAATACCAGTTTATTTCTTGCACTGGGCTGTTGCCTTCCAGCCATCTATCGAATGGGATGTTGCCTTTTCTTTTGTCCCTGGGCTTCTGCCCAGTCTTCCTGCTTTGTACTGCTATTTTATTTTCCTCTACCTTTTTTTTTTTTTTTAAATTTCTTCAGTTGTTGTTGACCTCCTGACAAGACACCTTTTGTGCTACAATCTCTTATCCTCTTGTTCCTGCATTTTTTCCATCTTTGAATTTTGTGCTATCTACCTACAAAAATACTTTTTCATTCGTGGCAATTGGCCATACTGTTTGGCCTTTGAATTTTGTTTCCGTGTTATTAAAAGTTCCTCTGACATCACACCTTTCCTTTTCTCTGCATGTGAGCCGTACACCTTTGAACACTGATAGTTCTTTTTTGGGTGCATGCAGTTTTGTCAGAAATCCTGCTGCCTTTGCGAAGGCCTTTTGCTTCTCATTTTTACTGGGTGTTTCAGAAGTAAAGTTAGCGTTTTGTTTAACGTGCAGCATATAACATAATACAAGGTCAGAATATAAGATGGGGGAGGAAAGCCAAAATGGCGTTAACTGGCACTGTTTTTCAGGCCCTTGAGTGTGTAAGTCGTACTGATGTAATTGCTGTGGTTAATACAGAATTCATTTGCATATCACAGAGTACTTGTGAATTGTAGATTAGTTTGGAGAGGTGAGGGAGGTACTGTAATGATGATTGACCTGAATGCATCTTCTGAATAAAGCATGTTCTTTGCATCTTGCTAACTTCCAGTTCTCATCTATTTCCAAACAGGTTGTAGGAGGCCTAGATATCCACAAAAAGATGGTCGTAGACGTGTGACTCTGTAGGGCACCACCCAACACTTTTGCTTTCTTCTCCATCTCTGAAGATCTGCTCAAGACGTCCAGCAATGCTCTCTGTGTATTTAAATGGAAGTATTTTTCTCTGTGAAGCCACATTTTCCAACATGAGCCTCATGAAGCCAACTAAGTGTTATTGAACTTTTATTCTCTCAATAACTCAGTGTAGCACTTTAAAGTCTGAAGGACAGCAAAGATGGAAAGAGCATATCAGTGTGGTGGAGAAAGGGAAGGGGTTGGCTTTTTAATTTATTTTTCTTCATCTTTTATAACAAGGAAATATCTATCTATATATATATATGTGTGTGTGTATTTATATATAGATATATATGTAGCTTTCTATATGTAGTAGCTAGGTGGGCTTTAATTTAATATACTTGATTCAGAAACAAAACTAGAGTACAAAGTGCCAAGCAGAATATTAACAGTTCAATATATGGATATACATCCTTACTTTTATTTCACACAGTTTTATATATATAGTAGAAGAATGTAAAATTTTAACGGGGTGTTAGGTCAACTCTTTTCCTTTTCCTGTGACTGTTCAGATGTTTCTATATATTGACTGGCTGACAAAGCATCGCTTCTTATTAATTCACCTTAATTACATTTTTTGTAACACAGGAGACTAAGTTTATTTATACCTGTTAATATATTACCAGGGACTGTGTCTCTTTGCTAAGTAACTTAGTACAGTTCTACTTAATACGAGAATAGAGTTTAATGCTACTGCCAAGAACTAGCCCTCGTGCGCGTGCAGTAACTGCAGGGTGCTTTGATGGCCACTAGATCTCGTCACCTAGGTGTGTGGAGGAGTTACAGCTGCCCTGAAGTTAAGGCAAGTCTGCTGTTCTGGATCCGTTTTGGATACAGCTGCTCAAGGTGTGAGACGCATTCGTGATTTTTCTCTTGCGCTTAGCTTAATGAAATTAGGATCGACATAACTGTGCAGGATTCCCATCTACTTATTTTATACAGTATTTAGATTATAAAATGTTCTTGCCATTTAAATTCTGTTGTTCCAATCATGGTAGTTTCCCCTCTGCATTTAAAGAATACTACAGGTAGCATAAATAACTGGTAATATTTTATATATATATATGTATATAGGATTCATACAGGGGGAAAATGTTGTTAACCTATGCCATAGAGGAGGAAGACTTCACACTATCTAAATTTATACCTCTTGTGGTTCTCCAGTCCTTTGCCTGGGGAATTTTTTTCTTTTCTAGATTTGTCCATATCATAATTTGTAATGGATGGTAACTTGATATATTTGTGTGATATAAAAGTAGCGAGCCATGTTTTACAACTTTATATCATCCCTTCCCTTTTCTGCAATGGTACTATTGGCTGGAAGAAAAACATTTGCTAGATTTTTTTAGGACAGTACATCTTTCCTGTATAGTAGTTTTTCTATTAAAAGAAATTGTTTTATAATCAGCAGTGGAAAGCGCAGGTTGTCTGAACCTACTTCAGTCGAGCACCTGTCTGCCATAGCTGTTCCTTCAACTGAGTGCTGCACATCATGGGCTCTGTCTGTGAGAGAGAAATCCAGGTGCTTGGTGTCCTTGCATGACATGAAGTTTTGCATGTAGATCGATTTGAAATGTTCCTCTTGTTTACATAATTTGCATAATTTAAAAGATAATGTTGCCAAACTTTGGTAAATGTTAATGTTCAAAACAAAAAATCTCCACTACATGTAACTTTCCTTCCTCTGGATCAGTACGTGGCATATAATCCCAGCCAGTGGTTGTACCTGTTCCAGTGTCAACTGCCATGTGCTCTGCTTCAAGGGGGAACTGGTCTTTTGTGAATTTTTTGTACATAAGTATTTGTTACAAACATTTTAGCAAATGCTTTCGATTTCTCTTAACTTGCTTGTGCATATCTTGGCTGGCATTATAGAAATTAGTGCTAATGTTATTTCCTTAGGGGGATTGGAAGGGGAGGGATGAAGTTGTTTTTTTTTTTTTTGTTTTGGCTTTTTTTTTTTAGTTTGTGTGGGGAAAAATGATTTATGTTGAATGTTTAGTTTTTCCTCTGCATGCTACATCATATGTTGTGGGAACTATAAGAACCTTCATACTATACGAATACAAAATAAAATATTTGAACCTTGGCTGGGGTGCTTCAGTACTCACCTAGACCTTTCCTGTTGAATTTAAAGCAGCTCTGCGCCCTGCCCTGAAGATGAACGCCTGCTGTTCCTAGTTTTTGTCTCCTCTTTGAGGATAAAGATTTATGGAAAAACTGTACAGGGTGGAGACAGTCCCTGAACACTTCCAGGCTTCATTTCAGTGTTTCAAGATCACTTACCTATTTTTTTTCTTAAGTGCATCTGGTTCTCTTTGCTACATGTCCAAATTGGATAACCTCCCTTGTCTGGCATCCTACTAAATTCAGAATGATTGTGGTAAGTGGAGCATGGTTTAAAAAAAACAAAACAACAACAAAAACAAACCCCCTGACCTTAATGTAGGTGGGAATGAAAGGCAGCTGCTCCCTCAAGGAAAGGTCTGAGACCTCTGCTGGTGGCAGCCATCCTCCCTGTGGCAGGTACGTCCTTCAGAGCAGCCCTTTGCTGTTGCTCTTGTCACAGTTGTTCGGGCCTGCTGTGTGCTGGCCTCTCGCTTTCTACTGCTTTTGGTCAGTGTCAGTACGCACCTGCCTTGGGATAAAGACTGGGTTACTTTTGTGTGTCCCTGCCTCACTCTCCCCTTATCTTTCAAGCCAACTGAGGTAAGTGACATAAGCAACGAGCAGAAAATGAGCTAACCAAGTAAGTGTGCGGTTTTACCTTGAGCTGCTCAAAATGGACATGCTTTCCCCTACACAGCTCTGACTGCTGGGAGATGTATGTTTAGTAACTTAGCAAGTCTACATCTCTTAGCAAGCGAAGGCTTGAATCAGTTTGGGCTGTACTAATAATGCCATAATACAAAGCGCTGGCTGCACTGGAAATTCAGACATGGAGAGAAATACTTACCCAATTTGCTCGTGTCTTTGATAATCTCATTTCAGTCTTAGTTCAAACCTAAACAGAATTATTTTGCAAGAGACTTGGTAACAAGTTTGGCTGGCAGGATCAGGAGAAAAGGACCTGTGTTTAAGTCAAATTCAGACTGTGGCTGGGCTCTGTCATCTCTCCCCCTGCTCTGTTGCATGCATGTAGCAAGGAGGAGACCCCGCACTGACAGCTGGCTGTGTTCTGGTACACTGGCAAGTATTTAACTGGGAGGCTCTCAGCTTTGCTGGGCTGCCCTTACAGATCATTTGTGAGAAAATAAAAAAATGCAATCTGTATAGGTGCAGATTCTAGGATTAAGTTCAAATACACCATTTACCTCTTTGTCATCTTACCATTTGTGTGGGATGCATTGTCCCAGCGGTAGCAGAGTCTTGTTGGGCAGCCTGCTGTTGAACTTGGCATTCCAGTTGATGCTTCCTTTTTCCAGGAAGACGCTGATCCATGAGCACTGAACTATGCTGATTCCTTTAAGCTCAAACTCAAAAGCCTTTCCAAATTCCTCACAGTCTTCAGTACTTTGGTGTTCAGAAGGTCAGTAATGAAGCGTAGTTTTGTTTGAGGATAAGTTTAAGTAAAATCAGGTACCCATACTTCTGATACAGACACAACCAATTTAAAATAACTTTTAATGACTATACAGAAATTAGACCACACAAACAGTCCTGGTTTTCTTCTGGGCTTCCAAGTCAAGCAGAGGACTGAGTGCTTGTGTGGCTCCAGGCCCCTCCTGTGTATGGAAACCACACTGCCCAGTCCCAGTCCTTGGTGGTGCAGCTCAGAACCTTTCAGCTGCTCGGCTGGCCACTGCCCGAATGTTGCCATAGACTTTTGATGGAGGACTTCCTGCGGAAGAAAGCACAAATGCAGTTGGCAAGCAAGGTAACATATGTCACAGATGTTTTCCTCTCGTGTCTATGTTAAAAGGGGAGAAATAAGCCCCTGGGTGAGAAGGATGGTCAAGGTTAGCTGGCCTCTACTGCTGCAAGTGTCTGCTGTTGGTGGGGGTTGCCCCCTTTGGCTTTCTGGACAGTGCATTCAAAATAGCTCCTCGGGGAATGCTGCAGCTAAAGCAAAAAGCTGAAAAATCTTCCTTCTGCACCATGGAGAGGGTTTTGGAGCCAGAAACCAGGCCCAGGTCTCCCTGCTTTTTCCCAAACCCTTCTTGTAAGGGCAGCAAGACAAGTCCTAGGAAGCTGCCTGCTCCAAACTTAAGGTAACCAGGCACACCAGGGAAGGTGGCAAGACCCACAGGAAGCAGCATCTCAGACTGCGAGATCCATTTATATGTAATGGAGAGGGTTAGGTAACAGGACTTACCTAAAATTAGATTGCAAATTGCTGTTCGTGCCATTTTAATGTTCTGGAAAGATCCCAAAATATGAATTTTCCTGTAAAAAGCAGTCAAAGTAGCATTAGTTAATAGGAAAACACCTGCCTGTGATTACACAGTTAATAGAGCATCCAAGTTGGAGGTGAGAGATGAACATGGAATTTCAGCTGAGCACCCTAGTTCCTTTTCCACAGTTGTAATTAAAAAACCACAAATGCTCAGAATTGGCAAACCTACCACACAGAACCTGTGCTCTTCTAAATCCTTTACAAAAGAGATTTACAATTTGCAAACTTTAGGAGAAAAACATGCTTGCAGGGTTGGTGGGTTCAGCTTTGGTTAGTTGTAACATGGAGTTCTTACGCTGTGTAGAATCACTCAATTGTAGGTGCGCTGGTGACATAGCCATTGCTCTCAAAAGGTCATATAAATACTCAAAACAGTGATTAAAAATAAAAAATCATTTGTCTTACAACAATTACACTACAACAGTTTCAAAAAATTCAAGTTGCCTTTGTTCCTGGAAGAGGACGTGAATTAGTTTAGGGACCGTGCCCTGCCTCGAAGGAGGGAAGTCCATACTTACGCGTCAGCAAGAACTATTCGTGTCCTGGTTACGTTTTCTATTGTGAATTTTGTTTTTCCGCCTTTCCCTGCTATTCTCCCTATTGCTCTTGACAGGTGATCTCCTTTCAAAGGCTTGACTGAAACAAGAATAAGGCACTCAGTAAGACAGTGGTGGTGCGTGTTTCTGCTCCTCTTGTTGAAATTACTGGGAACAACTTGTTTTAAGTAATACAAAAGCAACTTTAGGTGAAATACACATATATATCTATATTTGCCTATATGACTGGAAGTGAAAATTGCATCCAGTGGTATGTGACCATGGGCATCAGAGAGAAATTCTCATACCGAACTGCAACGGAAAGCATTCTCTTCCTTACTGAGCAATCAAGGTTGAGAGGAAAGAGTGCACACAATTAACACCCAGAGAAATGAAGCAGATCCCATTCAGGTGCTGCTCTCAGTCCTGGTAATACAGGAAATAACAAATGTGCCTGCTGCCTAATTCCCACCCCTCGCTGTTAGGATAGCAGGAAGAACGAAGCCCATTCTGGTTTGAAAATGGAGTGGCTGTATTCCCCAAAATGCTCCGTGTCACCTTGTGAGTTTAAAACAACGTTTACACTGTGACAAGAAAAATCCAATCAACCTGACAAAGCAACATGCTTTTAAGGCTGAAGGTTTTGGTGGGGACATGTTACACAAATGACAGCCCTTTCAAGCTGCCTGTTCCTAGACAGCAACTCTCTGTACTGGCACAGAGGTTCTCCTGATCCCTGGGGATAAATGACACAAGTGGAGTGGGGGGAAACTGAAAAACATATTCGCAGATGGTACAGGCAACTGCTTGAGTGCTGCAGCAGCAATTACTTACCGTCTGTAACTTCAAACGATTCTAGGAAAAGATCGTCTAATCTGATGAGAGCAAGAGCATCCTAAAATATGAAGAGATTTGTTGTCAGCACGAGTGTTACAGTACCGCAGCAGAGTTGCAAGCTGGTATGTTTTCCCTACCCATATACACAGATGTCATCAGTAGTATTGCCCCACTTAACGTATCAAATGATAGTCAGCTGAAGTTAGGTCAGCTATCTCTTCAAAAGCAATAGAAGCATTTGTCTCTGTGCAGAGAACCCTACGAAGGCTCAGGACCCCCCACGCTCACCGCAGACCCACCCATGCTGGTGAAGCAGGTACAACGAGCAGCCCGTACAATACTACAAAAAGTGATTTTGTTTTCTCCAAGTAAGTGTTGAGTTTTGAACAGACTGATGTTACTGACTGGGACTGAAGCAAAATGGACAGTTTCTACATATGCAGAGCACCTCAGAGTCAGATAAAATACAATTTCCTGCTTGCCTCTCACATACCATTACATAGTTCCTCCATTTCACAATTTTCCTTATGTGCTGTTTGAAGATTACCTTTTTAATCTGCATTAGCTTAAGAAGCTAGGCTTCCACTCCGGTCAATTTCAAACGAATTTATTTCTAGAAAGCCACCTAAACCACTTCCTATTTTCATTTCTTTCTTACTGTCATTTGCAGAAAGACCAAAGGCTTCAGGCAAGCAAATTCAAGCAATCTCACGATTGAACTACGGGGAGACTCACCTCTACTTGAAACCCAAGTATAAATGCTTTCACAAAATCAGCTGCTTTCGTCAGAGCACTGAGATCCTTTGTCTCTTGACATGTCTGCAAGACAAGAAGTTGTTTGCAAATTAAATTAAGACCATTCAAATAGGATCAGGACTTCAAAAATCTGAGAGATGAAGTCTAACTGTTAAAAAGCCACATGTAGGTAATGCTCCTTTATTGGGTTTTACTCAAAGACCCAAGCGATAAACTTTGTGCTGCCTTACGATGTTGACCCTCAAGCACAAGAATGCACCAACTACCAGAGCCTGTGCTGGGGCAGGGGGGGGAGGGAAAAGAGAAACTGCTGAAAATCCCCACTGCCAGTCACCAAGGAGAACCTTTTCTACAGGAAAAAAAACAACCCAAACAAACCAAAAAACCCCAAACTAAACTGCAACGAAGAACAGCAGAATAAAAGAGAAGGATGGCAAGAGACAGCTTGAGGAGGGAAAGTTATTTTAATGACAATACCCTAAAGATCTTTTAGAATCATAGAATGCTTTGGGTTGGAAGGGACCTTTAGAGGGCATCTAGCCCAACCCCCTTGCAGTGAGCAGGGACACCTTTAACTGGATCAGGTTGCTCCAAGCCCTGTCCAACCTGGTCTTGAATTTTTCCAGGGATGGAGCCTCCCCCACCTCTCTGGGCAACCCATTCCAGTGTTTCACCACCCTCATCATAAAAAATTTCTTCCTTAATTTCTTCTTAGCAAGTGATTAGAAACATGGACAGGTTCAACAAAGCATATGGGACAGGAGAAACAAGATACTTGGAACAGGAGCAAATCGACCCAACGCATCAGCAAGTGTTGGACTGTTTAAGTTTTATATTTTTCTTCCCTCCCCTGCCCCAAGCAGAGGCCACAGGATTTGCTGCCGTGGGCATTTTTTTCAGCTCATGTTCCAAAACCGGGTCGCAGCATTCCTCTGCTACCAGTGGAAAAGTTTGCGCACAACTGCATTTACAGATCCTAACAGGGAGAACTGAGAAAAGAGCAGTCTTTGAAGCTCTAAGAAAATAATTAAGGAAGACAATTATGTTCATGTCTGGAATGGATAAAAGGTATTCTGAAACGTCAGTTGCGGCTTCCATGCCACGTCACAGAAATGACAGAAACGCTGGTCAAAGTTTTCAGTTGTTTTATACTCGTGATAGATACAGGCAAAATTCAGTCAGCTTGATCAAGAACACAACCACCTGCTTTTCCACCAGACATCGTTCTGTATCCAAACATGGTGTTCAAATCCCAGGCTTTTCACCTGTGTAGTTACTCAGTGGAATTGCGAGAGTGCTCCTGCTCTGCCCCTTCCTTCCTTCAAGTTATTCCTAGGGAAGCGTAAATAAGGGATAGGTCTGTTGCCTTTCCTAAGAAGCTGGCTAACCTGTCACTAACGACACAATTTTTTTCCTCTAGTTGCTACCATCAAAGCTGTGACAAGATTTCAAGGCTAGGAAGCAAAATTCCTGTTGGTGTCTGTATTTTCACCCTTACGTTATAAAATCTCCGACACCAACATCGCTAATACAGTAACTGGTACGCCGAAGGCACAGCGTGAGCTTTGGACATACAGTTAAAAACGGCAAGTCTGAATATTCCGGCGAGGGAATAAGACTGAAGAATCTACAAGATTTACAATTGTGTATCGGTATCCATACCCGAAGCTATTTCAGTGCAATCCATTAAAGAAAAATCACAAGCTGTTAAACCCCAGGCCCTTATTTTCTGCCTCAAACCAAAGCTGTTGGAAGATTTGGTGGCCCCCTCAAAAAACACTGTTAACTCAAAATTGTCACGTCAGTACTTAGTAGCCTTAAATATCTGGAAAGCATTACATTCCAAAATCATACCTAACACAGAGACTAAGATTCTTCTGTAACTCTTGGGTACGTAACTTTCTCCTATAAAGAATCTACACGCACCCCCACAGCTTATGGCTGGCCCCTTCTAGAAGAGATTAACCCTTCCGAATTTCACTCACACCAACCACTTGTTTCTAAGCAGCACCCGACAGACTGTGAGGGGTTTCTGCGTAGGTGAAACTACGGGGTTTCCATTTTCCCAAGCGCTACAGAGCACTCGGAACTCGGAACGCCTCCCGAGCCTTTAACGGGCGGCCCAAGCACGCGGGTGAGGAGAGGCGCTGCCTCCCGGGGCTCAGCTGGGACAGCGGGAGAAGGAGCTCTCTTTACCTTGATTTCGACGTTTCTTGTTTTCAAGTTAAACCTGATCTGAAGTTGCAAGTGCTCCACGACAGGCGTGAATATCTTCATCCAGTTCTCCTTTAAGGGAGTGTACCTGTTGGCCGGCACGGGAACCTTCCTGATTTCGCCTTTTCCGACCTAGCGGGGGGCAGAGCAAGGGGGGTGAAGGAAGGGGAGGCAGAGCACCGGACACGCCGTTCCAGGGGCCAGAGGGCTCGCTC